ACATGGCTGCCTAATGATGACATTCAAATAAAAAGCCAGCCAAGGAGCTCATTATGGGTAATTTTCAAAGAACACTGCCCAGCCTATTCAGAGGAAAAGTTAAGCTATAGCACAGAAAATAACTTGGGCTGAAAAAGTACAATCATCTTCAACTTTTCACTTAATATACTCTACATAGTGGCTTGTGTCTTTGAAGCCTTGCTGTTTCCAGACAAAAGATAATGACTGACCACTACCAAAGTAAGGTAATTTACCCACTTTCAATTTGTATGGCTGAGGTTTGTGTGGACATTAAAATGTATAAGCTGTGCTGAGTTGAGTTCTTGGGTCTTTAATAAAGTGTAGCTCTGCTGAATCCCCTGCATTTGCAAACTCCAATCAGCCCCTAGGCCACACCCTTGGTCAATGGATGCCTAGCAATCCCATAAAAGAGACCGAAATAACCTGAACTAAACTGGGGATGATGTATTGATGGTTTTTCAGGAGGATAAGCTAAACGAGGAGAATGACTAATGATCTTTCCACTGACATGGGCTGGTAATTAAACTTTCTGTTAAGTGATCAAAGCATCTGGGATAAAAATAAAGCTCATTCTTCAACATTCACAGTGCAATTGTGGGTTTCTGTGAAAGGTTTGGGGGTTCAAATTTCTAGGAGATGTGACTCACCAGTATAATTGCAAAACCATCTAGTTCTACCATCAAAAAAATCCAAAATGTAGGGTAAAGTCCAAGTTGTGCCCTGGTCACTGATGAGGAAAATATCAAAGCATTTTGTCTTATATAGTGTCAATCTGACATATTTATTCTCTCATTATTACTGAACAAGCAGAGATTAAATAGAGGAAGGATTTTAGATGCATTTTCCGTGCATCCTTCTCTCTCTTTAGCTTTATTCATTTTCCTTAGCGACTTTTGTTGTTCTTGTTTTATACTTTTTTTTATTTAGACTCTTTTTACGAGTCTGCTTCTCTAGTGAATCATCTGTTTCATCTAGCACCCTGATTAGATTTAACCAGTGCCTGTAAAACCTCTGTCTCCACCAAAATTAGCCGATGGTTTGCTGTCAGTGGAAAAGCTACAACACTATTCAGGCTTTGAGTGAGTGAAGACTGGAGACTTGTGTGCTGTGTGGAATTAATATCAGCAGGTCAGCAGGCAGGGCATCATCAGTTTGGAAAATCTGGGAAAAACGTTCACAAAAGAGACAAATTCATCAGTAGTCAGACTATTTCAGAGTAAATTCTAGTGAAATAAAACAGCTAAAACTTCAACAATTTGTTGCATCAGAACAGTGTGTTACATAACATTTCAGGTGAAATACGTGCTCTAATTCAATGGGCTAATTATGCCAATCAGAGGCACTAAAAAGGGGAAAAAGCAACACATAGTAAAAAAAAGTAGTAAAACGGTGATAAAACTTTTCAAAGGGGGGTATTGTGCACAAACTAATTTTTTGAGCTGTATATCAAGTTATATTGTTCTCTCATCAAAAACATGCCCCGAGTGTTTATTTGACTCCTTCATGCATGTTTGAGAAATCCTTGCATCTTCTGTAACCATTCGAAGGTGCAAAAACGCTTGCTAATACAAAGCCCCGCCTATTTACATAAAGCTCCTCCCAGGAGCTCAGTCCCCAGCTGAGCTCCTGCACAACAGAGGCCCCTTACCTTGTGCCTCCCTCATACAGCTCATCTTCTGTTGAGAAACAGAATTTAATCCTGACCAATGGAAAAGCCAGGCCAAAGACTATGGTTGTCAATGCATCTACATCAGCTGTTATTTATTCAAAACGTTATTCAGATTCACATTTTAAATTGCAACTATTTATTCGATGAAACCCTGCTTGAAAACAGCCATGAGCTCTTTTTTCTGTTTGATAAACAGCACCATTTAGCTCAACTCCCAAGTGTGCTGCAATTAAAACTGTCCTACTGATACACAGGCAGAGTGGAAATAATTATTTGCAGGTTGGCCTTGTCCTCACATACTCCATCCATGCTTTCCCCTCTATCCTTGCTCCACACACCGCAGCCATCTCAGCTTCTGTATCTGGCAATTTTTGTGTAATTAAATGTAATTTTCTCACCCACACCTCACATGCCTCAGTTTAAACATGTTGCCAGTCACACTGTCACCACCAGTGACCAATGTGGGCACTTCACAGTTGCCATACCATTTTTTTTTCTTTTTACACACTTTCAGTCACAAAGGTAAACTTCTACATGAAGGCTTTTAGTTCTGATGAAGCTCTCTGGGATCTTACATTTTCCTACAACACAACTTTTATTCAATATCAAACTGCTCAATCAGCATTTAAATATTTTGTCACGAGTTGCTCAAACATGTTATTTCTAAAATGTTGTTGGGTGTTTAATTTCAAATAAAATGAACCAATATCAATCCTGTCAGGATGCAACATTAGTTTCTGCACCACACGGATTTTATTTTCCAGCAACAGACAGTTGCCCCACAGTCCACAAGCATGCATAAATAAATAAATAAAGAAAGAAAGAAAGAAAGAAAGAAAGAAAGAAAGAAAGAAAGAAAGAAAGAAAGNGAAAGAAAGAAAGAAAGAAAGAAAGAAAGAAAGAAAGAAAGAAAGAAAGAAAGAAAGAAAGAAAGAAAGAAAGAAAGAAAGAAAGAAAGAGAAAGAAAGAAAGAAAGAAAGAAAGAAAGAAAGAAAGAAAGAAAGAAAGAAAGAAAGAAAGAAAGAGAAAGAAAGAAAGAAAGATATATGAACTGAGCCGTTTTGGGTTTTAATTATGTATGTCAGTGTGATGCATCTTAGCAGCTCAGATGAGGGCTGACACATTTATTTTTAAGTTTGGTGCTTGCATTTTACAGAGGAACAACCATTTTTGGTTTTGTTGCAATGTGGAAGACAGACAGCAAACGTCAAAGCACTCATTTTCTCATGACACACTAATTTCCATAAACAAGCCTACCCTGCGCTCACACTAGTGTCAGCTGCACGCTGAACTGCAGTAAAAACAAAAAAAGAGTGGCTCACATCCAAGTCAGGCTTTTTTTGGCACAACTCTGCATTTTCAAGGTTTATCAGGGGCCTCACTGGAAACATGTAATTCCTCTCATAAAAAAGTCTAACTTCTTCTAACGCTACAAGCAAAACCATAAAGCATGATGTCATTACATGAAACAATCGTTTGGAAGTTATCACAACTGCCATTCACTACCAAAAAGCAACAATTAAAGCTTTAGAGAAAACATTTTTTAAATAATCCATTCTGTTAAAGTTTATTAGTCCTTTATTGACAAGAGAAAAGTTTTTCTACCCCCTAAATCTACATTCAAAACAGCGAACCTGGTGATGTCATTATGGGTAATATGCTGGCAGTTGCCATGGCTACCCTGACATAAAGGGAGGCTTTTAAGGAAAGATGGAAGGAGGGGTTGGTGGGAGTCTGTTCCTTTTAATATGCGAAGATGAGACATAAATGAGACAGTGCATTTGGTTTCAAGTTTAGCCAAGACACATATGTAATCTGATGGTAAATGGAAGCCACATTCAGTGCCTGAATTTTTTTTACATGTCCGTTTCCTCTGAGGAATCATGGGACTTTAGGCTTATACCAGAAATGTGATGTGTATACCAGAGAGGGAAACCAACGGAGCACAATGAGATGCTGAACGGAAGACCAGTGACCACAGAACTGGAAACACCTTCTTCCAATTGCAATGAACCACTGTTTTTTTTTTTTTTGCTCAATTCCAAGTGTAGGGCAACAATTGTGAACGTAAACTCGCATTAATCATTTAAGCCATCTTTCAAGAGAAAACAAAACAAAACAAAAAAACCCCAAAATATATTTAGTATTATGCTTATACATCCAATCTGTTGTTTCTTTAGTCTTTGAATTGTAGTTAAATAATTCTGGGTGAATCAGACAGATAAGCAATAAAAATCAAAAGTTTGTTTTTGATAGTTTATATTTGTTTAAAGGCAAGGAATCAATCCATATTAAACTTGCAGAATATAGTTTTGCCAACTGTCATACATACTTTCAACGATTGGTCATCCAAGTGAGCTCACAATTCGAGGTGACTGCAAATAATAATTTGCAAATTTCATTGAAAGTTTAAGTTGTTAACCAGCATTCAACAGTTGCAGTTTAGTGAGAAACAAGATTGCATTTTGATCAGAGAAAGGTGCCGACAGTGGGGTCTATCACAACCCCATCGATTATACCGCTGTGGAGAGGGTAAGCAAGGTCTATTTGTGTCCACGTTCAGGAGTATCTTCAAGGTTTGTGCATATTTCCCACAGTAAAATTCCAGCACTTCTCAAGCATTTTCAAGCTTTCCAGCTTCAAAATTTAGTGCAGTTTGTCTTAGTGCATCTTTCTCCACTGAAATTTAAAACCACAGTACATGCTGCATTTATGTGAAGGGAGCCTAACAATCTAACTGCAACTGAATAAAATTCTGCCAGCTAGCAGAAATGGACAAAAGGAACCCAAAAGACATCCGAGGCACAGCACACATGAGCATTGCCAAACCACTGCTACTTTTTGCATCAAACTATTTCCTATAGCATTTTCAATAAAAAAAGTTTTGTTGTTGTACATTTTAAAATCCAGTAGATGACATAAAACCCTGGCTTGATTATCCTTCAAACAGTCAAACTGTGAGTTTGTAAGCAGAATGACCCGGGCACAGGCAAAACCCAAAATGCAAAAAAAGGTTTATTTTAACTAAAGAAGGCTGGCAAAGCAGCTACAAAAAAACTCTATCTTCACAATGAGCACTCATAAGGACCAAGGCGAACAACCACACTGACTGCAAGACAGTACAATGAACGGACACAGACACAGGACACCAAATATAAGGCAAACAAATTAAGAGACAATCGGAAACACCTGAGGAGACACAAAAGGGATCAGGTGTGCGTGGGCGGGGCTGTGGGGCAGAGCAACACAGGGGAACACTGAAAACACTAGAAAGTTAAAGAAAATAAACACAGACCATGACACAAACACCAGTATTCCTGAGCAGTTAGAATGTCAAGCACTTTCCAAACACTGAAAACACTTTCAAGCAAATATTCAAGCATTTTTCAAGGATTTCAAGCACCCACACAAACCTGGTCCACATACAGATGCTTTAGTCTCTAAATCTACAGGGAACATATACAGCAGTTTTTAAACCTTTTTCACTTCGTTGAAAACTTGTCCAGAAGTGTCACTTAATAATTCAGAGGTTTTAAAGTCCATACAAAAAAAGCCCTGCAAACATTTATCAAAGCAACCCAAACGCTGGCTCACCTCAGGCCTGCCCTCACTACAGGATGCATTTGTCAAACACTGCAAGACCAAAACAATAAAAAAAACTTTAAAGACTCCTCACACCTCAGTAGCTTTCTCCTCTCAGGCAAACTCTGGCAAATAGTTCCAAAATGGGGCAGCTGTGGTGTAATGTTAGAACAGCCGGCTTGGGACCCGAAAGTTTTAGGTTCGACTTCCCGCCATGCCCACATGTCATAGTGTCCTTGAGCAAGGCACCTAACCCTAACTGCTCCCCGGGCGCCGCTCCACTTGGGTGTGGATGGGTCAAATGCAGAGCACAAATTTCGTCATTGTGTGGAAACATACACTGATGACCAATAAAGCTCCTTTACCTTTACCAAAATGATGATCAAGGGATGTTGGAGAAATTAATAATACAAAATACTTAACCTAAATCTTGAACCTCATTCGACAGAAAAGAAGAAGAAAAAAGTTTGGAAGCCTGTATTTAAATTGAAAACAATATTCAATAAAAAAAATTATAAAAAAATTTGAAAAGGGACTTGTGGTGTTTCCATTCAACTTTGCTGGTGAGTTTTTCCATGGGTTTCATTAATGAGCAGGCTGCAGTGTGCTGCTGGAGTCAAATGATGTTGGTCAGACCGAGGGGGAGGGGACCAGATGAGGCAGATTTACCAGTCAGGGGGCGAGAGCTACAAATACAGATGTGTTTAGTCGCACTTTCACGCAGGACGTCCCTGTGTCAGGACCGACGTCCTCCCTCCCCCTCTCCTCACTGACTTCAGCAATCTCAAGTGGCCACTGCCGCAATTAAGGAACCACGCCTGTTGCGCTCTAATTTCTCTGAACTCCAGTACTTATAGCCCCATTCTGAGCTGCTGAAACGCTTGCCTCCTGTGGCTCCGAGTCTGTTTTTCCAGAAAAACGCTCTATTCTGCCTTTTTTTTTTTTCCCCTTCACCCCTCCTAATTGTTTTATTATCGCGAGAGCCTACAGCAGAGACCCTCCAGGGGCTGGCTCTTTTGACCACCGCCGTCTCTGTTGGAACTGCAGCTCTGGTCACTCTGACCAACACGCAGGGAAACAATGATGGAGTACCTCAGACTGAGTTTAGTGTTTTGCTGCTGGATCAAGTTGGCAAGTTCTGTTCTATCCACTGCCCCTCAAACCCCTGTGGCTAATCCTGAAGGTAAGAAGTCATCCAACTTTTTTTATTTATTTATTTTTCTGTTGCTGTCGCGCCATCCTGTAACTTTTAAAGCAATTGAACAAGTTATTGCCTTTTTACAGAGCTGTTTATCCAAATGAAGGCTTGTGTGTATGTATGTTTTTACATGATGTCAGTGTTTGAGGCGCGCAGGTTGCCTGCGGCTCCATGTGTGGGAATCACAACATGTCTGGCACAACATATGTCGGAGAGCGAAATTACACGATTCTGCGGTTTCTCACATTTTATACTTGTTTTAAATGCTGTTTGAGCTTTTACATATAACAGGGTGTAAAGAAGAAACTAATTGGGGACGAGTCTTTAATAGTTTAACAATAAAAAAAGGCAGTTGATGGCGACGATGACTGACTGTACAGAGTGCGCAAAAAACAACTATTTAATTTGAGAACAAACAGGGAGAAACAGAGGTGCTTGTAAACAGGTTATAATTAAAGGGTGAATTGAACAAACCACATCCACTGCTGCTCAGCTGCACAAGTCAAGGCATAGGTGTGCTTTATATTGTCTTGACTGAAAACCCACTATTTTATATTATACTGTCAGACATCTTGCAAATATTCGAAAAGAAAAGTTTGATTGCAAATTACTGCAAGATTTGTTTTTTATAAACCTAAAATTATTCGACTTTCTGACTATTTTCTAACTTCTCATTTTCTAACAGCATTCTTCTAATAATGTTTTAATGCCAAAATGATGACTGCCTAATGCATAAGAATGTCTTAACGTTTTATTTGACTTTCTCCATGTGACATGTACAGATGTAGAATTAACAACAAGAGTTTTGTGAAACAACAGAGTCTGTGCTGGGGGCTGTAAAATCACTTGGGCTCCCCGCAGGCTGCTGCTGAAGTATTTAGGGTGTTTTGTCAAGGGCGTGATCACCATCCTAAAGGTGTGTGTGTGTGGGGGGGTTGGGGGGGGGGGCACACATCTCTTAAGGGTCTTGTTTTTTTCTGTTTCGGTTGAAATAATTGATGGGGACAGAGGGCACAGATGTGGGAAGTGGGGGGGGACATGTCCCACCCTGTACCAATGGCGGTTACACCCATGTGTTTTATTATATATTTGCTTTTCAGTTTGCCCTATTTTCTTGTAGTTAGATACAGTCTATAAGCAATACTTCAAAATCCACAGTTCCAGAACACCTGAGTAATGTTACAAAATTGCCTTTGTCCTTTTGTTTTTTTTAATGTCCAATTGTTTTCAATGAAAACAACTAGACTTCCATTTTGTAGTTGAAAATGTTTTGCTCCCCATTTGGAAAGCTTCCTAATTCAGATCTGGAGATCGTGGCGCTCCGAGCTTTAAACTAGATGAGACGCGTTGTTTTGTAAATTCACATTCTCACTCCCTTCTCCCCAGGGGAGTCGTTAAAATCTCTGTTTGCCTGGCGCACAAAAGCCAGGCAAACGGAGATGCTTTGATCACATACATGAACGTGTGTCATGCTTGTTTTCTAAAGGTTCACACTCAGATAGAAAAAAAAAACATATTCAAATATTTTTTAGGAAAGATTTGGTATTCCAGCAAGGGAAAAGTCTGAATGTTATAAAAAAAATCAACAAAACAAGTATTTTTTTCTATTTACGGTAAAAAGCATAAGCTCATGGTCTTGTTCTTTGTTATAATCAAAAAGGTTACCTGTTATAGCAAATACATAAATAAGCCAGAAATAATGTTTGAATAGCTCCATCTACTTTTTACTCTGATTCTCTCCTTCAGCTTTTCTCTGAGGGCACCCTTCCACTGTTTGCTGGTCAAACACAAACCAGGATTCAGCAGTGAAAAGTGCCGGTGGAGGGAGTAGGAATGCAGAACTCTGGTCATTTCTCACCACTGTGCACCTGGCCAGACTCTGAACAGTGGACGTGGCTGTTGGTTTGTCAGTCTTGGAAAGTTACAAAAATTGAGCTTCGTAGACCCCCACTGTCCAGCCACCTGAAAGAAGCCTTTCACTTTTTTTCAGACTCTTTGAGCAACATTTTGGATTTAACATGTCGGTTTTATGCTGTGATGTTGAGCTTCTGCACATATTTGTACGTGACTTTAGTCAGCTAACCATCAAGACCTATAATTAAAGTTTGCTTTAAGCCCTTTTAGGGTAATTTATTGTGTTTTATTTTTGTTTTTATGTGAGGTTAACAGAATACCTAATGGACATAATCATCCTGTGTCTAGTGGACAATTCCACTTTCCCAAGATAAAGGTGTTTTTATACGTATTTTAGTATCACTGATGTGTCACTAGGGCAGGGGTCCCCAAACTTTTCCCTGTAAGGGCCACATAACTTTTCCCTTCTCTGGTGGGGGGCTGGAGTCAGTTTGTAACAGAAAAAGTGTGWCTATTGCAGGAGTGCCTAAATGTAAAGATTTATTGTTTTCCAGAAAGCACAATCAAATAACCCTCTCTGGGTTCTTCACAGKATGTATTCTGCTGAGCTAACAGTCCATCTTTTAGCTTTGAGAGTTTGTTTGCTCGCATTTGGTCTTGCAAGCTATCATGCTTGTCTTTGTGACAGGATTCATAGTGTCGCCACAGATTTTATTCTTTGAATACCGCCACCTCCTCTTTACAGATGAACAAAAAATAATCGTTTGTCCACTGCAGCTTAAATGTCCTGCATTCTGAATCAGTTTTTCTCTTACCTAATCTTTTCGCCATTATTCCGTTCTCTCTTTGAGAGGGGCGGGTTTAGGATTTTTTTCTGGGGGTTGCCAGATAGGGGCACATACCGCAGAAGAGTGGAACAGAATATCACGTTATATGTGTGTATGTATGAAATAGTTACTAACTAATAATAGTTAATAATGAAACTAGTTCATAACTAAGGAACATTTTATTGCAAAATTCCAACTTTATAATCAAATATAAATACACATATATGAAAAAAAAACTAAATGCTCTCTGGTATTGTTCTGGGGGCCGGACCAAATGGGGAGGCGGGCCGGATCCGGCCCGCGGGCCGTAGTTTGGGGACCACTGCACTAGGGAATACTTTGTAGTCAACAGAAGGCAGCTCCACCTAAAGTTGTCCATGCCTTAAAGATGTACATATAAAGACATACATATAATGGTGCTCTTTATTGCCTATATGACAAACTAACAAACCCTTTTGGCTGGCTCAGTCTATAATCATGCCTTAGAGCATTCTCACTATATTATCACATAGCTGCTTCTGTGCCTTCTGTCCAGTCAAACGTATGTTGTGCTGTTTGCCTTTACCATTGCTCGAATTTAACAACGTGCTCAAATAAACCCTATTTTGTAGTAATTTTATGGTGTAAAACTAAGTTTGAAAGTCTTTTTTGTGATTTTGTTAATGAAAAGGCCAGTTTTTAGACCCTTTCAGAGGCTTTAGATTATTTTTTTGTCCAGATAAATAACTTTGATTTGTTCAGACAACCACTTTATGTGCTGAACAAATCAGTGTTATGTTAACACAAAATACACGACAAGGGAGGTAGTCATGGTTTTTATCTTTAGACTCTTTGTTAACTATATATATA